AGTATTTATGTATCTACACATATCTAAACATAAAAAAGGTACAGTAAAAATACCGTATAATCTCACAAGACCACTACTGTATACCGGGTCCAAGACTGCACATGCCACATGACGTGCACAATGCATTGTATTGACTATGGTCACCTTGCCGTGCACCACATCTCAAAACTTACCCTTCCTGTCTCTCTGGAACGTTGTGCCCTTTGATCAACATCTCTCCCTTCCCTCCCCACCCCTCAGCCCCAGCCCTGGTAGACACCAACGTTTTTAGATTCCACAATAAGTGAAATCATGTGGTATTTGTCTTTTTGTGCCTGGCTTATTTCTCTTGGCATCACGTCTCCAGGTTCATCCACATTGTCAAAAATGACAGGATTTCCTTCTTTCTTAAAGCTGAATATATTTCACTCACCACAAATTCTTTAAATAAATAAACAAAAGGTGAGGAATCTGGAGTGGCCCTAGAGGTAACTTAAGTACCACCGAATCTGGGTCTATCTTGACCAGCTCTACAGGGCTTCAGGGCCTCCTAGAAGAGGTCAGAAGATGTGCAGGAGAACATGGATGACTATCTTTTATTGATTTACTTTGCTGGATTTTGTGGGGGGGAGGGTTTAAAAAAAAACATTGGTTTAAAAATTTAAAAAGCAGGCTCAGTGCCCATAGCTCAATGGTTAAGGCACTGGCCACACACACTGGGGCTGGCAGGTTTGAGCCCAGCCCAGGCCTGCTAAACAACAATGGCAACTGCAACATAGCTGGGCATTGTGGTAGGCGCCTATAGTCCCAGCTACTCGGGAGCCTGAGGCAAGAGAATCGCTTAAGCCCAAGAGTTTGAGGTGACTGTGAGCTGTGACACCACAGCACTCTACCCAATGCTACATAGTGAGACTCTGTCTCAAAAAAAAAAAAAATTTTTTTTTTGAAAACCATATATGCAAAACAGTAAACAACTTGACCCAAGTCTGGGGCCACACTCAAGGCAGTATTAACCCATTTGTAGGGGCGTGAGGAGGGGAAAGAGAAGAGATGAGGTCAGGTCAGGTCTGGGTAGAGATTTAGACCACCATGACCAGGAGTGAGAGCAGGACCCAATGCACCATCCCATGCCTCTCTCAACATGGACAGTACAAGACCTGCCTCATGGGACTGTGACCAATGCATCCAATGAATGAATCACTGAATGAAGAGCACTTGCACCTCAAATTATGAGCATTCCAGATGCCAAGATTCTTCCCCGAAAATGAAGACATGAAGGGGAGGCTATTTGGGCTATCATGTGATCCCCCCACCCACCCCCACGGAGCCCAGGTTGCCCAGGGAGTCATGTCCAGAAGACGGTGACTCCAGCACTACATGTGTGCACTCCAGGCCATAGGGCCCTCTGTGGAGATGACCCTTTGAGGGACAACACTGGGTCTGCTCTATAACAAACTTTATAAAATAAGCATTTTGTTTCCATTTACAGAGATGTTACTAAGATGGTAGCTGGCTACCCTGCAGGTTCCATCACACGAACATCTTACATGGCTTCGTGTGCTGGTCACAACTGAGGGGCCAACACCAATATCTGGCTGGTAGGGGAACCCTACACGTTATTCCTATTTCTTTAGTTTTACCCAAATAGCCTTTCTCTGTCCCAAGTTCCCACGGAGGTACAAATCCTCCTGTTTCCCTCTTCTGGTCTGCAGAAGCTCTTCAGCCATCCCTCATGTGTGGCGGCCTTGGCCACCAAGGAGAGAGCTGGACAGGTGTCTGCATGTCCCTCCACAGGGGTGCCCCTGGGGGGGCTTCTTGTGATTAGACTGAGGTTCTGAGTTTGGGGAGGAAGACCACAGAGGTGAAGTGCCCGAGCAGATTTGTACCTGTCTGATTATAAAAGTACAAACAGTAGGGGAAAGGAATGGACAGCTCCTGCTTAGAGGGTGAGGAGCTTCGGTTTTGCAAGATCAACAGCTCCATGGATGGGGGACGGTGACAGCTGCACAGCAGTGTGAATGTGATTAATACCCCTGGGCTGCACACGTGAAAGGATCAGGACAGCACTATGCACACAACTGTGTTTCCCTGAAATTCATACATGGAAGCCCAATGCCAATGTGGTGGTCCTTAGAGATGGGCCTTGGAGAGGTTCTGGTTTAGATGAGGTGACGGGGAGCCCCAATCTAGTGGGATAAATGCCTTTGTGGGAAGAGGCCTGAGAACTGCAGGAAAACAGGAGCCACACAGCAGGGACGCTCCCAGCTGACGTCCCACCCGGTAGACAGTCCCTTCTTCCCTGAGCTCAGTGGAATCCTAGAGCTGCTGTGCGGCTGTAGAGACCTCACAGAAAGCCCTTCCAGTAAATGGTCACTCCACTCATGTAACAAGGACCACACTGAAGTCTAGTTCCTCAAGGGTGAGAACCACCCACGGAGGGCAGGGGTGGCCCTCGGGCCGCACCTTTCTGACATAGGAGACAGCGTCCTCCTCTGTGTACACCTCGGCGCTCACACCCCCGCGCCGGCGGCGGGCCTTCACCACAGGGTTCGGAGGGGCAGGAGAAACTTCCTCATCGTGGGAGTCCGACTGCGAGATTGACTTCTGCTGAACCGAAATCTGTCTGTTTTCTTCCTGTGCAGGAGAAGATAACAGGGAAGGAAAGTAAGAAAGTGGCCCCAGGACAGCACCCCTAGCACAGCAGCTGGGAAGTAAGGTCTCCAGGGGTCTCCTGGACAAGGAAGGGGTCAAGCCTGTCAAAGCCATCACCCTACCCTAGCTCCTCCCCATCCTCAAACACCTGCCATAGCTCCCCTCTGATACTCCTGGACTTGAAGACCTTCTCCCCTCCCCCAGACACCCGTGGTCAGCTCTACCGGGTACTCGGGCCCACCCCAGGCCAGGCTCTGGCCACTTCTTCAAGGGCATTTCCAAGTCCACCTCCTCCCAACTGGACACCCCTGTTGGCCACAGAGACCTCGCTCCAACTGTCCTCTGCTCATTCACATGTCAACCTGCATTTCCCAGCCTCTTGGGAGCAGGGGGGCTTGGCCTCCATCCTGTAGGGTCCAGGGCCACCGCTGAGCATCTGAGACCCCACTAGGCCATCACCCCATGGAGATCCCTGCTCAACCCAGAGCCAGCATTCAGCTCACAGTAGACACTCAGAAACTATCTAGGGGGTGCATGAGAAGAAAATAAAGCTCTTACTTTTTCTTCCTTTTTTTTTTTCATTATTTGATTGCTTTTTGCAAATCATTTACACACGTGGTGGGAACAAAACTCCCAAAGTACAAAGGGGCATACAGTGAGAAGTCAGTCTCCCACCCCAATCCAAAGCCACCCACTCTCCTGCACCTCCAGAAGCAACTTCGCTACCCCTTCTGTTATTAGATGGGGAGGCCCCGGTGAGGTGGGGATGCTCCTATCCCCCAACACACTTAGGGTGAGGTCTCTGACCAATGAGGAGCCGCCCTCCCTAAGATGCAGCTCTGACACCTTTCTCCTGAGTCAATTCAGTGTGACAGTTATACCCAGAAGTCACCCTGATGAGAACATCAGGCAAGGACACCCACCCCTCTTCTTCCTCCCATGGTGCTCTTTTCTCTAAAGGACCAGGGCCTCAAAAGCCCAAATCTTTTGATTCCCATGGACCTAGCCTTCCAGGCTGCTTCTCCACCTTCCAGAGCATCCCTGCTTGCTCCACCAAAGAACAGTCTTAGTTCAAGCTTCCCTCGTATCTTGTGAATCCTCAGGGAACCAGAAGCCAACCTACTTTATACTACAGGGTAAATAACTTCTAGGTCAATGCTCTCCTGAAGAGTTTGCTCTCCTAAATGCAAAGAAGATATTTTTTAAAGGCCCCAGAACAGACTCTGCAATTCAAATGGGAGTGGGAACATTTTCCCACAGAGCACCTACAGAAAAAAGGAAGATCAAGAGAGCCACCATCCCCCAGAACAATGAATATAGTTCACTCATGTATTCATTCTACAAATAGTGACTGCTGGTCATGTTCTAGGCATGATTGTTGATATTTTATTTTTTCTCATAAAAGCTTATTTCTTATCTTAAAAAAAATAAGAAAAACTACTCAAAAATTTAACATTATAATAAGTCTTCACTTAACAACTTTGATAGGCTGTTGGAAACTGAGATTTTAAGCAAACTTAAGTTAAACTGAGATGTTTAACAAAACCACTTTTTTTTTTTTGAGACAGAGTCATACTCTGTGGCCCGGACTAGAGTACCATCATGTCATAGCTCACAGCAACATCAAACTCCTGGGCTCAAGTGATTCTCCTCCCTCAGCCTCCAAAGTAGCTGGGACTATAGGTGCCCATCACTACACCCAGCTGTTTTTTTTTTCTACTTTTAGTAGAGATGGGTCTTGCTCTCTGGTCTTGAACTTCTGAGCTCAAGGAATCCTCCCACCTCAGCCTCCCAAAGTGTTAGGATTACAGGTATGAGCCACCTTCACTGGCCCATTTTTTCTTACACATTATAAAGAGAAAACATTGAATGAAGCAATGTAATTAAGGACCTCAAGGTATTTCACTTGAAGTCACAGTTCCCAAGAATCTATCCATGATGTCAAGAATCAATTTTGTGAGACAGGAGAAATTAAGGAGGCCCTCCAGGTAATTTTTTATAACTGCATATCAATCTACAATTACCCCCAAATTAAAAGCTTAATTTAAAATAAAATTAACAGCAGCTGTTAACTGTTGTCCTGAGACAACAGCATCTGGGGCTCTGCTTAGTGAAGGGTACACACAATCTGTCACCAGCCTCAAGGCCAAGCCCCAAATTCCCCCAACTATGCTGTGACCTGCAGAAGGTGCCACACTTGCCAGCCTTTCTTCTGCTGTGTGCTGATTGGTCCTCTGCCTCTGGACCCTGTAGGCAGTGCCTGCGTTCAATGCCACTGGAGGCTTTGTGCTTGCATAAGCTGCAGCCTAAATGTTTGACCTCCAGCCTTGAATATGGGCTGAAGGTGGGGAGGCTCTGTGATCTGGGGTTATCCCCAGCCCTGTGCTAGAGTTCCTTTCTTGGGGGCAATGCTACCCTTTGACAACTCCCCGCCAAGAGGACTGAGCCTCAGGCAGGTGTGACCCTGAGCCAGTACAAGGTTTAGATGGTACCCCTCCTCCCCCACCGCCAAAATTAAGTCCTTTTGCTAACCCCAGCACAGGTAGACGGGATCTTATTCAGAAGAAGGTTCTTTGCAGATGTCACTAAGTTAAAGACTTTGAAATTAGGTTGCCTTAGAATTAGGGGGACCCTAAATCTAACAGTAAGTGTCCTTATAAGAGACAGAAGAGGAGCCACACAGGGGAGAAGCCACATGACAATAGGCAGAGACTGGGGTGATTCAGCCACAAGCCAAGGGATGTCCGGAGCCACTAGGAGCTAGAAGAGATTGGAAACACCCTCCTCTGGAGCCCATGGAGGAAGCACTGCCCTGCCCACACCCTGATGTTGAACTTCTGGCCTTCAGAGCTCTGAAAGGATCAATTTCTGTCATCTCAAGCCCCCTTGAGCAGCCTCAGGAGACTCATACACTGGGTTAGGAAAATCAAAGCAGGGCCACTGCTGGGGCCAGCAGCCCTACACCCTATATGCTATGCAGTAAGGCTCAGGGAGGCTGAGCTCCTCCTGCTCAAGGTGCTGCAGGGCTGTGCAGGGCTTCCCACCAAATCACAAGCCCTGCCCTCCCCTCAGGGGATGAGCACCCTCCCTGCTGGACCACCAGAGAGGGGCCAGCCACAGCAACCACTCACCCCAGCCTGATCTCTGGGATCCTTCTCTCATCCTTCTTCCCTCCCACGCCCATTGTCCTTCCAGTTCTCTGGACACCGCCCCTCACCCAGATCTCCTCTACAATCTGCCTGCAGCATCCCCTCATTCCCAAGTCTCTGGAGGCCTTCTTTGCTATAAGCTTTTCCTAGATTAAAAGAGCTGAGAAAAGTGGCATTCCCTTTCCTTTAAAAGTTACCTCATTTAGGGGATCAAAAAAGAAAAGCACTTGGCAATCTCATCTCCTTTAAACGCAAGCCTCTACACACTTCCTTTGCCACATTGCAGGCACCTGTCCCGGAAAGCCCCAGGTAGACAGAGTCCACCTGCCAGGCACAACTGAGATACCAGGGCTCTGTGTTTGATTCTGCAGACCATGAGACTGGAGGAATTCAGGGTCAACCCTGCCAACTCTCCATCAGTGCCTTCCGATGGTCCCCAGACCCTGACCATGCCTACCTGTGACAAGACTGAGATGGTGGCTCTGCAACACACCTCTCCAGGGGCACAGACATTCTGGGGTCTGTAGGCTCTGACAGATGCCAACACCCAGGGTAATGCGGGGCTGGGTGGCACCAGTCCTATGCTTGTCTATCTCTTGCCTCGACTTTCAAAAACCATCCTTTCAAGCAAAGTACTTGTTTGTTCCGAATTTTTTTTTCTTTTTTATAGACAGGGTCTCACTCTGTCACCAACACTGGAGTGCAGTGCAATGTGTATCACTCACTGTACTCTCAAACTCCTGGGCACATGCCAGCACAACTGGCATTTTTTTTTTTTTTTAGAGCTAGGGTCTCACTATGTTGCTCAGGGTGGTTTCAAATTCCTGGCTTCAAAAGATCCCCTAGACTTAGCCTCCCAAGTATCTAAGACTACAGACATGCATTACCATACCCAGCTTCTTCCAAATTTTTAACCTGATGACTCCTAAATATTGGCCATTTAAAGTGACCCAGCCAAATGTTCTCTCCAGGTAGGTGAGGTGATCACCAGCTCACACAGAGGGAGACAGAGTTGGGGAGAAGTTTGAGACTCCAAAGCATACCCTGACTTCCTGGGACTCAGCTGTTTGTAACATTCCCCTGTTCACAGAGCCTTCTGGCAAACACATGACTGTTAAAATTGAGGCTATGGGGTGGGAGTTCCTGCCAAATGCTAGTTGACACACATCCTGTGGATGGTAGATACATGTAAAGGCACTACACAGGACAAAGTGGGCCCGGCCTGCACCGCCAAGGCAGTGGACAGCGGGCAGTGGCTGTCCAGTGACAGGGTGTCACCCAGTGGGCAGGGTGTCACAGTGACATCCTGTCCAACATGTATGTGCCAGGCAGGAAGTGCACTCCCCACGAGGTGTGACTTGATAAGCTCCTTGATGCTCCTAAGCAAACAATCCTATCCTCTCGTCCCCAACTCAGTGTGGCCATCTGTAAACCAGAGCTCTAGACAGAGTTCCCGGGGACCACCTTGTTCCTCACTATGCAGTGCCCCACCTAAGCGTAATTAACTAGTTCTTTTTGGTCCCAAATACCCAACCTGCAAGTTGCTAGGTACACTGGGATTGTTCAATGCAATTTTATGCAGTTGTTTAAATATATCTTTATGGAACTTCCCAAAAAAAGAAGGCAGATGGACGGTACACATTTTCTTCTCCCTGCAGAGATCTCTAAAATGATAGTAAAATTAAAATATATGCATATATAAACCTACAACAATGAAGAGAATGGGAGAAATGCCAGCAGAGATTTCAAAGCTTTCTGGAAAACAGACAATGAATTGAAACATGGAATTTGACATGTATGCAAAGTAAGTCACAGTAGAATGTACAGAAATAG